TGCCCCTGCACAAAACAAGATTCAGCCAGAAAATCACACAAAGTTAGACAAATGCATGGAGGTCAAGAAGCAGCAGCGTGTGTGTGTCTATATATATATATATATATACTAGCAGGTAACCTCGTGCTTCGCGCGGACAACAGTGGACGCTGAAAAAAAAAAGGGAAAAGGATGGTACTGTTCATCTATAGTGATCTGGGTCAGGGGCGTGGTTCTGTTCATCTACAGTGAACTGGGTAAGGGCACGCCGGATGAACAGTGATTACGATGGGACACCCCTTAAATTTATAGTGATAGATAAATATATATACAGAGAGACACACAGCATATTCTACCTTGGCCTCCCAGAAGTAGACGTCGGTGTGGCAGAGCGCGGTGTAGAGGATCTTGACACGCACCTCCATGGCCTGTGGCGGCGCCACCTCCACCTCCTCGATGGACAGCGGCTTGCCGGCCTCCCACGCCACGGCGGCTGCAGGGAATCCAAGAACCAAATCGATCCGATGATTAGGCTTCTAGCTAGTAGCCATCACGAAAGGCAGAGGTAGAAGACGTACCTTTGCACTTGATCACCTTCCCTGCGGTCGCCATAGCTTGCTGTCCCTCTTTCTGTCTCTCTCCCGAAGCTCGATGGACCACTCGAAGAACACGAGAATCGAATCCTTTTGCTACTGCTTCTTCGCACCCTTTACACTTGGTTGATGATCAGAAATTGGCGAGGAAGAAAGCGGGGACGAGTACTGTATATATAGTGGTCTAGGACTAGAGGGAGGCAGCGAGAGCGCCTGGACTGTAGCGGCGCAAGTTGGGGGAAGAAAGGCTCGGATTTTTTTAGTCGCGGGAGAAACCGGGGAGGTGTCCGCCGCCGCTTTCCCCTTTCCCGGCCTCCGCGAGACAGCCTTGGCCCCGCCGGTTTCTGCCTCCGGCGGTTTGTTGTTTACGGTTTTCCATGTCCTCCGGTAGACATGACAGTAGTTAGTACTACTTTTCCTCAATTCCAAATTATAAGCTCGTCTCAGAAAAAATTCTAAATGATAAGAAATATTGATTTTTCTAGATAAATTGTTTCTATTACATGTATCCATATATAATGTATATCTTAGTGTATAAGATAAATTGTTTCTATTACATGTATCCATATATAATGTATATCTTAGTGTATAACAAATTTTATATATTAAAAAACTCAAAAACGTCATTATAATTTATAATGAAGGAGGTACCATTTTGTAAACAGGAGGCTACAATACATAGCTGCATTCTTCTCCGAAAGCTATAACAAACAATAGCAAGCTATAAGCGTACAACGAAGGCTATTTAATTTACCGGTATTTGTAAAAAAGAAATTGAAAATTATTAATTAATTATGCACAAAAACATTTAATTAAAGAAAAATTTTATGAATATACAAAGTACTCAAATACATATACCACTTCTAGGAAAACATGTATCCACACCAATGACTTACTTAACATTCACTAAATTAGTCAAGATACTAGTAACTACGATCAACACTGATGTTCATTCAACACTCAATATTCAACGATTTAATAATTATTGAATGGTTTATTAAGTAAAGAACATCATGGATATACATAGATTATACTGGAGTATGGAATGAATATTTCCATTGGTCACGATTATTGGCTCCAAAATATTTCATGGCTAAGCAGGATTTTAGGGTTTTTTTTGGATCCACTAGCTAAAATTTAGCCCGGGTCACATCGGAAGTTTGATATCAATTAGAACTAAACATGAGCTAATTATAAAACTAATTGCATAAGACGTGACTAATTCGCGAGGCAAATTTAGTAAGCCTAATTAATTCATGATTAGTATATGTTTACTGTAGCACCACGTTCGCTAATCATGGCTTACTTAGGCTTAATGGATTCATCTCACGATTAGCTTTTATTTATGCAATTAGTTTTGTAATTATTGTATGTATTAGTATCCAAACTTTATATGTGACAGGGACTAAAATTTAGTCCTGGGGTCCAAACACTCCCTTAATCTGATCAATAAAATAGTCTATCCATTCGCTTTATTTTTTTTTTCTAAGTGAAACTTCTCTAAATTTACTAAAAAATATTAAAAATACTAACATCTAAAGATTTAAAGAAACACATTTTGCAAATATACTTGCATTATAATTTTGGTCCAAATTAAACAAGTTTAGCTTAAAATAAAATCAAAGTGAAGTATATTTTAGAAGAAATCTAGGTGTAGTCGAATGATTTTTCATGCATCATCTGTCGGACAATAAAAAAGATTGAGACAGAGGATATTCCTGCTCCTGCATCATGATTCGGTATATCATGATGTTGCGCCAGCGAGGAATGGTGAATTTGTGGATCGGTGCTGACAGTAATCCGGGGGGAGGCGAGCAAGAGCATCATCACTCGAATTCCGAACGATGCACAGGAATTTCCCCCGTCAAGCTTGTCTACGTCGCGTGACGCGCGACCTTGAAACCTCGATGGCCGTGCCGCTAAAGATTCTATTCTACTAGGCGATGCTAATGCTATTTACAAAATGTGTAATTGGTTACTATTTACAATAATTGGTTACAATTTTACTAACATTAATCCATTTTGTCACTTCTTTTATTTATACTGGATGTATTTGAAACTTATGTATCAATTGCTTTTCGAAAATATGATTATTTTTAGGTTTGTTTAAAGTTAAACTGTGTAACACTAAAGAAGTTGTGATTTTTTTTTCATAAAATATTTTTTCACAACATACTTATTTCGTTCGAGGCAGTTAAATTTCCCTATTTTCTTGGTAGGATCAGATTTTAATCACGGGTGAAATCGGAGGCTCAGATTTTAATTTGACCAATAAATTAAAATACTCCATCAGTTTAATTAAACTTCTTTTTTCTAATTCAACCTTCTCTAAATTCAATAAAAATATTAAAAATACTAACAACTATAAATTTGAAGAAACACATTTTGCAGATATACTTTTGTTATAGTTTTTTTTAAATGAATCAGGCAGAATAGCTGTCGATTATTATATTATAAAGAAGGAGTACCACAAAGATAAATTGGGTCAAAATGACCAACAACGACAACGACAACAGCAAACAACAACTTAAAACTTTATAGAGCATGGCCGGTTGAAATGGAATCTCAACACGTGATGCATATTTCTATTAGATACACCAGTGGCCCTCAAACTTGTAATGGTGTGTCACGTAGGTCTAAGAACTTTGAAAATGCATTTCTAGGTCTCTAAACTTGTTAAGTGATGCACCACAGGTCCATGTTAGCCATGTGGGCATTTTTTGATGATGTAGCATGCCAGTGTGGCATATATATATATATATATATTTATTTATGACCCTCATGTTTATTTTCCCTGTGAAAATAGACCCTCCCTTCTTTCTCTATTTCCTGCTCCTTTCACTGCTGCTGCAAAAGGTGGCGTGGCTCCTGGAGTTGCATCATAGCCGCCTATGGTCTATATCTAAGGGTAAAATAATTTTGAAGGGCTAAATGTAAAAATAAATGCCACGCTAGCATGCCACGTAAGCAATAAATGCTCATGTACGTGAGATGGATATGCGGTGCACCACTTAACAAGTTTAATGACTCAAAAATACGTTTTTAAAGTTCGTGGACCTACATGACACACCTTTATGAGTTCGAGGGCCGTTGATGCATTTAATATTTTTGGTTAAAAATTATATAAGTTTGGCCCAGAATAAAATCAAACTGAAGTATAATAATTTAGATAAAAAAATCTAGGTGTAGTCGGAGGATTTTTCATCCATCTTCTGTCGGATGATAAAAAAGATTGAGACAGAGGATATTCGTGCATTAAGATTCGGTATATGTTGTGCCAGGGAAGGAATGGTGAGTCTGTGGATCGGTGTTGGTGCTGACAGTAAGCCGGGGGAGGCGATGCACAGAAATCTGTCCCGTCGGCCCCTCTACGTCGCGTGACGCGCGACGTTGAAACCTCGACTGCCATGCCGCTAAAGGTTCTACTACTCTACTAGGCGTCGTCGTCTTTGGCCGCGGAGGCCACAGGCCGGCACCGGACCGGCCGGGATCGCGGCGGGTCAACGCCCATGACGATGACGCGGCCGGATTCCGGGTTTGACTTCCCTCATCCCAGCTGCTGGCGCGTCTAAATCCACATTCCAAAACCGGGGCTGTAATACGTGTTCTCCTCGAGCCTGCCTGTCTGCTTGACCATGGGTTGGATTGGATCTTGTTGTAATTTGTTTATGGGTTCATGGCGACGCGTGGTGGTGGTAGCTGTGTCCGGTCCGGCTCCACGCGCGCGCCGGCGCGGCGGGTTTGCCTCCCTCTGCCGGGTGCCGGCGGCTTACATACGGTTTTGTTCCTGCGCCCATGGTAACAGTAGTGTACCCGCTCCGCTTTTGCTTCCACGCTAGACTTAGCTTGTTCAGTTGGCTGGTTCATAAAGAAATATTGTTGGCTGTTTGTGTGAGAGAAAAATACTATTTCGATTGGTAATTTATGATCATATACGACAAGCACTGACCAAACTAACAGGCTATCACTGTATTACTGTGGATTACGCGTAATTTGTTTTCACACCCAAGAGAACACCTAGAGCTAGCTGCACGTACGTGCATGTCTGACTTTGGTTTTGTTTCTTTATTTGGTTATGAGCTAGCTGCACGTACATGCATGTCTGACTTTGATTTTGTTTCTTTATTTGGTTATATCGTTTACTGTGTGTCAGCGTGTACCGTCTGTTTGCCGCTGGTTTTTATCATAAACTGTTTGACACAGTTCACAACGGCTGTTATGAGCTGTATTTTTTGTCAAACACATTTTTCTAAAACAGTTCACAACGATGAAACGAGCTAGGACTTCCGGATCTCTCCTCAGGTTGCAACGCACTGCCTTGTGGTCGAGAGAAATTACACGAATTGCCCCCGACGCCCCCGGTTCGTACTTCTCCCGTAACCCGTTCCTGCGTCTCTCTCCCTCCCTCTGCCAGCGCCGCCGCCGCCCATGGGTGAGCCCTCGCCGGAACGCGAGGCCCGAAGGGAAGCAGATAGATCGGGAATCCTTGAAGACGATCCAATCGGTTCGTCGACGGGGTCGTTATCTGCTGTTCTCGCACGAGCAGGAGGTGGTCCACCGGCCGGAGCTTCTTGGCCCGGCGTGGGTCATGGCGTCCCCCCGGCCGGTGGATCTTGGCCAGGCGCAGCAGCTCGCCCGCCCCCGGATGGCGGCTGCTGGCCCAGCGCGGCCGCATCCGCGCCCCCGGCCGGCGTTGGCTGGTCCGGCGTTGGATGGCCCAGCTCGTCCTCTGGCGCCGGCTGGCCAGGCTCATCCTCTGGCGTGCCCCTGGTCGGAGTTGGCTGGCCCAGCTCGTCCTCTGGCGCGCCCCTGTCTGCTGGCACGTCGTCTGCCGGCGACAGACTTGGTTGGCAGCAATGGAATGTTACAACGACTGCTCTTTTCGGTCCTGATTGGAGGGAGACGAGGACACCTGAACGAGTCGAAGATGACTGCGTCGAAATAGTGGGCTCTGGTGCTCCTAGCCGTGGTGGCCGAGGTGGTCGAGGTGGACGCTCACAAAAGCCTCCTGCTGTTCCTGCTGCCCCCCACCGGACACTGTCGATCAAACCGACTCAAGGTAATCGATGTTTTCTGAATTTTACACCATTTCTGGACTAAGGCTACTGAGAAACGATGTGGAACGTTTGTTATTTTTTTTGATAAGTTCTATTGTGTAGGATTGTGTAGTTCATGATGGTGAATTGAGCTTAGATGCCATGTTATGCTTTGTGGTAGACTCTCGGTTGCTAATGTTATGATCTTGATCAGATAATGTATAGTGATCATGGTCCAAGGTATTTTATTTGCCAAATTACCAGTAGTAGTTGCTAATTTTTGTTCTGAATTTTACATTTTTGTTCGCAACAGCGAGGCCGATTGGTCGGATGAAAATACTAGGATAGTTTGTGAGATTTTTGCTGATGAAGTACAAAAGGGAAATCGGGCAAATACTCACTTGAATAAGGCTGGGTACAAGAATGTCATTCAGAGGTTCAAAGAAAGGACTGGATGTGATTACACTAGACTGCAGTTCAAAAATAAGTGGGATAGGTTGAAAGGTGATTATGCTATTTGGAAGAAACTCTCCAACCATCAAACTGGTATTGGATGGGATGAATCGAAAAAGAACATTCGGATGCCAGAGGCTTGGTGGAAGAAGATTATAAAAGTAAGTGCATTTCATAAACATTTCTATTGCGAACTTCTCTGTATTTTCATTACCCTAACCTGACACACTTGTTATTTCTCGTTGTAGGAAATCAAGGGGAGTTCTAGGTTCAAGCAAAAGAGGGCTGCAGAATGTGGAGCAGTTGGAAATTATGTTTGAGGACCTCCGTAACACTGGAGATGATCACTGGTCTGCTTGTAGTGGTGTAGCACCGGCCCTAACAAGTTTGTCATGCGGCAATTCTCAAGTTAATGATGAAGATGAAGCCGATAATGATAGTGAGCCGGAACAAAGAAACACCTACCAGTAGTGCGAGGGGGAAGAGGGGTAGAGAGGCTGTTAACAGTAAAGAAAAGAAACCAAAGACAAGTACTGGGCATTGGTTACAGGATCAAATGGGGAAAATAGTGGACATGAATGAGAGGACCATGGCTTCTTGTGAGTCCATTGCAAGGAGGGAAGATAGATCTGGATGTTCCATACAGGATGTAATGGTCTTGGTTGAGGAGTGTGGTGCTGCTCCAGGATCAAATGAGCACCTCATTGCAGCTATTCTTTTTACCAAAAGGGGCTGAGAGAGAGAGAGATGTTCATGACTTTGAGAACTCCTCGGGATAGGATTGATTGGTTGAAGAGGAAACATGAGTGGATGACTAGAATTGATGTGCCTAAGTAGTGCAACACCTTTCATTTGATGTTGATGTGTTTGGACTAGTTTATGCTTTTAATTTATTTGGAACATCTGTAATGTTGAATACTTCCTATTTGGACTAGTTTATCCTTTTAATTTATTTGGAACATCTGTAATGTTGAATACTTCCTGTTTGGACCAATTTATGCTTTTAATTTATTTGGTGCACTAGTAATGTTGAATACTTCCTATTTGGACCAATTTATGCTTTTATTTGGTTTATTCATGGTGGTTGTTTTTTTTTGTTGTGTACATATCACAGTCTGGTACTGAGATGGATGATACGGATGATAATTATTCGGATGAATGGATTTCAAATACTATGCAATTGTTGCGGTCTAACCAAAACAATTTGGTTGCCTGTGCAATTCTAGCAGTCCAGTACTACATGACGTATCTTGATAAGAATGAGGCGAGAGCTCCAGCATTGTCGGGTTATGGTTGGACATTGGAGATTCTAAACACCCTAGGTGAATCTCATAAAATGTTCAGAATGAATGCATCATTGTTTGATAAGCTACATAACCTATCAGTCAGTACATATGGTCTCGAGTCATCACTTCACATGAATTCTATGGAGTCACTAGCCATGTTTCTACTAGTTTGTGGGCATGGCGCGTCCATAAGTGCTTTGCATGGTATATTCAAGCACTCTACAGAGACAATCAGTCGAAAATTTGATGAGGTCTTGATGTGTTTGGTCTCCATGTGTAAGGACTACATAAGGCCTATTGATCCGAACTTCTGTACAACACATTCTAGGCTTACTGATGATAGGAGGACGATGCGTTATTTTAAAGATTGCATTGGAGCACTAGATGGTACTCATATCTCAGCAACCCCACCTCTGAATGACCAAATTAGATACATCGGTCGAAGTGACAAATCGACACAAAATGTTCTTGCTATTGTTGATTTCGATATGCGATTCACATATGCATCTATTGGGCAGCCTGGTTCTATGCATGACACAAGTGTGCTCTTTCATGCAATTGGACATGATCACGACAAGTTCCAACACCCCCCTCAAGGTATGTATATATGTATAGATTACATTAATTTGTTCATAAGTATGTGGCTGGAATTTGTGTACATGAATCTTAGTTACCCTTTTCTTATACTCAGGCAAATATTACGTTGTTGATGCCGGGTACCCAAATAGACCTAGATATTTGGCACCATACAAGGGTGAAAGGTACCACGTGCCAGAATGGAAGGAGGGGTCCTGCACCAAGAGGTGAGCAAGAGCTCTTTAACCATTTGCATTCAAGTATTCGGAACGTGGTGGAGCGTTCATTTGGTGTGTGGAAGATGAAGTGGAGGGTTCTTCTCAAAATGCCAAGTTACCCAATGAATAAGCAAAATATGATCGTTGCTGCAACAATGTGCCTACATAACTTTATTTGTGAGAACCATAACCAATTTGATGACAAGGACTTCAGGACATGTGATCAGAATCCTGATTACGTGCCTACTATACCTAAATGGTATAAGAAGTATACTCCAAAAAATGCAGGTGATACATCAACATGGGAATCTAAAACGGAACATGGATAAGTTCCGTGATTACCTTTCAAAGGCGATCTATCTTTCTAGATCATCATAAGAATGTATGTTTGTATTGTAGCATGATTATTTATGTTGACATGTGCACTTTTGTTTAAGCATCGATTATTTATGTAGCACTATTATTTATATTGTTTTTTTATTTTAATTTTAAATTAATATTCATTCAATATTATTCTTTAATTCATATCATGGCAATAACCTGTCAGAACATGCACCGTGCCATCTCTGCTGGTCTGGATGTTCCGTGCCATCTCTGCTGGTCTGTTCCGTCCCCATCCGGCAAGACAGGGGCATATTGGATAATTATCCTCTCTCTGCCGTTCATGAGTTGTCGATGAAGTTATTTTACCAAACACTTTTCTCAAAACAGCTTAGCTTTACTCAGAAAATTGTTTATGAAGTTGGTTGTGGCAGAACTGTCTGAAATAGCACGCTTCCGGAGACGCTCGTCTTCCATCAGACACTAAGCATCCCGAAAGCTGGCTACATCGAACGGTTCCGTCGAGCACACCCCAAGGGAGAACTCGAACCATCCACGTTTTTCCTTCAGGATCCAATAATGAGAATGAGTTTACAATATTTAATCCATTTCATACAACAAGAGTTCTCAGAAATATATTATTACAATACCAAATTCAGAGTGCGGAATTTAACAGCGGAATTAAATTAAACATCTAACGATAAGATACAAGGATCCATCTGTGCCCACTAAAATAATTCTCTACACAACAACCATTCCTCAAGCTGCACCTACAACAGGGGTAAATAAACCCTGAGCACACAACGTACTCGCAAGACTTACCCAACTAGTGGGAATAATTTTCTGACTCCAAAGGATATGATAAGCTTTATGGTTTGTTGGGTTCCTTTTTAAAAAAAAACATTACTAGTAGTGAATTCTTATGTATGTATTTTATTAGCAGTCATGATTAATTCATTAGCTAACCATTCTAGGTAAGCATATGCTCTACTTTTAAGTAAGAGCTGAGCAATCAGATCCATTCATTCCCTTTCATCTTTGAGTTCTTACTACGGTGCTAGATCGTAGATAACTCGTACCGTATTACACGATGATTCGCGAACCAATATAGCCCAGCTGGGTACCCCGAAACACATACCCCGCTTGTACCCCAGGCATAAGCAGGATCAACCCACCACTCTCCTGTCAAGGGGTCCAAGTCCCCGTCCAAACTTAGACTCCAAGCCCCCACACCTGAGTCCCGGACTCAGTGTGGTGCTTAGATCTCCACCATCCCCGCCTCTAATTTATCGGTCCAGAAAGAACCGGAACCCACGACAAAGAGAGCAACGAGCCTTCCCGCTCCCATAAGCAAGTATGTGCTTAGGATAATAAGTCTGTGACCTGACTAGAATCCAATACAACAGTCGGTCCTTAACCGACACGGACAGGAAAAACAGTGTATCCAAGCTATGCCCCGTTGACCGTGGGACACAACCTATTACACTCACCAATACCCGTACCACATCCCTACACAGTCTCCATTTTTCCTTTCACCATTTTATTCTGAGGGTGATAATAATAATCACCTATTGCGAGTAACGGCAGGTTACTCACGCTACCGATAGTCTAAGCATAGCAGCTACTCGACCTATACTAGTAGGACTCATAGGTAGGTTTATCTATGCATATAGTTTCAATAATAAGCCTATAACGTAAATGCACATCGCATGTACATATCCAGTGATTATTCAAAATAAGGGTTATGCACCGGAGCTTGCCTTGGGCAGGAGAGGTGTCAGCTCAGTCAGTAGGTGGCGACTTCGGGACCTCCTCCTGCACGAGAACCTCCTCCTCATACTCCTCGATCACCTCCTCGAACTCGTGGTCTCCGATGATCACGATCTCCGTCAACTCGTTCTCTACATGCATGCGATGATGATGCAACACTTAGTATTTTAGCAACAACAGCTTCTAAAATAAGAATACACATGGTAAACTACTAAGCTAACTCTATTGACTAAGATACTAAGCTAACTATCATCTTCATCAAGTAAAGTGTTGGGTTCAACTAACAAACACCTAGCTTTACAATTGAAGGATATATATCTCTATTTCTACTAATGATTTAATGTATATTTGAAACAAAGAGCATTTAACTCTCCTTATGTTAAATCTATTCTAAAGCTACAAAAATTATAGTGAGCACATAATAATATCATGAAGCTACTGTAAAATTTTCAAAGCTAAAGCTATCACTATTTTGCCACAAAAATTCCTACAATATTTAACCTAATAATATTAAGCACTCTCAAATGATTTAACAACTCCTGGTATCGTCAAGTATATATATGAACTAAATACACTAATAGATAGAGCACAATTTTAGTAATTTAACAAAATTGGCTTCATAATTTTTGGGTACCTACATTATTTTATATTAATTACCAAAGTTCAGCTTAGAATTAAAATGAAAAGCTATTTCTATTCTCCACAAAAAAGTTAAACTAATTTTGGCCCAACGCGGCCCACGCGGCGCAACGCGCTCGTGCATGAGCGCGCGGCGGCCCACAAGCATGGCCTACGCGAGGCTGGTCTGCAACGCGAGGCGGCCCACGGCTGGGGAATCCCGCGCACGCTGCTACATTAGCAAAAACACCCTTGAACTATGAGCAAAACGACTCGCAGTCCACATTACTATTCCTATAGACAGCAACTTTGCAATAGAACCCTCAGATCTTTCTCCTCTTTACAACAGCAAGGCCCCCGACCCTCCCCGCGCGCTCCGGCACGGCGAGCGGTGGCACTGGCGCTTGCACTGGCCACACAGGACACACATTGACCTATCTGCAAGGCCGACGCTCACCTAGGGTTCGACATGAAGCGATGGGCGATGGTGGCACGAACTGTGGTGAAGCAGAGCAGGCTCTCCTCGGCGGT